AAGTAGTTTATCTATTATTTACAGGCCACGACGATCTTTTCTCTTATTTTAAAGCAGTTGGCTTTTAGATTCAGTCTGACTTTCTTGAAATTTTGGAAATGTTTTAATTGTTAAAATCAATGATGCTTTTGTAATAATCTACATTAATTACCTCAAAGATGTAAAAGTATGCAAAAGTATGTAGATTTAACCTTTAACCTGCTCACAGGTAGCAACAATACTCCATCAATGCAATCAGTGCTGACCAAGATCAGCTGTCACATCAATGAACATCATGGTCTGTAACGTTTGCTATTTGATCAGTTAATAAATTGAAATTCTACCTTAAATGATGAATGGTTTTGTTCAGATTTTAAGTTGGACAAGTCCATTTGAGATATTAAGCAGGTTATGGGTTAAACATGCATTAATAAATGGCTGTGACTAAAAAAAGGATTGGAGCACCACACTAAATACCGTATTCCGGTATATACCGGACAAGGCGCTTGAATGATAAAATGCTAAAATCTTGTCTTTTTACCCAACGGAATGAACTTTAACAGGTCTAATTCATCTTTTCACACCGAATCAAGTACGATAATCAAGGAAAAATGTAAAATTCAGCGAAAAAAACGATAGTTGCCTATTTTGTGATCATGATTTCTGCAAGCGTCTAGAGGTACTGCTCCAATCCTGTATTGAGCTAAATCCTTAATAAATTGACATATCTATGCTGATATGACAAATTTCAGGTTATATATCTTATGCAAGTTTCTTTAATTATTGATGTTGTTTTTTAATGCATCACACATTACGACTCAGCTCCAATAGTGTACTCAGTCTTGGAAAACATACGGCATTACATTATCTGATGGTGTATTCAGTGTTGGAAAACATACGGCATTACATTATCTGATGGTGTATTCAGTCTTGGAAAACATACGGCATTACATTATCTGATGGTGTATTCAGTCTTGGAAAACATACGGCATTACATTATCTGATGGTGTATTCAGTCTTGGAAAACATACGGCATTACATTATCTGATGGTGTATTCAGTCTTGGAAAACATACGGCATTACATTATCTCATATTTATAGAATATATTTTTGAAATTTTATCAACAATACTACATTTGTCAAAAAAGTGCAATTAAGCAAAAACACTTATAAAAAACCTTTAATGTTTATTCAAATTCATTGTGTGTTAATTTTTATAATTGGTTCAAATTGTTAAGGCAGCAAAGCCTCCAAATTCATGCTAATTTAAGTACATTTTTTGTCCAGTTTTATTTTCTTGAAATATTTTGTTTATCTGGAGGCATGCAGCTTTTAGACTTAACCAACATGCGAACTGTTACTATAAGACTATGGCTAAAATAAATGCAAAACATTTTTGTAACATTATATATAGGAAAAATGTCAAAATATGTGTAGAGAAAATATAAAGTGACAAAGCAGTTATTTTACTATGCATGATTAAGAAGGAAGTAGATATGTTAATATGCTTTGAAAATTTATTTTTGAAAATTAATCCTCTCAAGAAAAACTTTCATGCAGAAATAATTGGATAAGATTAAAGACTGACTTAAATATGATGAAATAATACTGTTGTTAAATCTTTGTTGTATTTTATTAGGAGATATTTTGTACATTTTCAAATAATAAATTTTATAGTATAATTTCATGATGTTGTTTCATTTCTCTTCCTGGTTCAGTCAGGTATGTACATTTCTTTTATGCATCAAAACATTTCAGAACATTAATGATGTTATTTAAAACCTATCTATATGTGCATCATAGTTTCAAAATAGACTGATCGTCCATCATCTAGTATCAGTAAATCTTATATCTATACTTAAATTTGTTTTATAATATCCTTAATTTATCCTTTATAAATATTTAAAATTTTATTTCCCCCCACCCCACTGCAAGCCAAAAATAGAAGTTTTTGGCTCTTTGCCAATCTTTGTCTGTAGCATCATTGGATAAACATCATTTCCTTCTACATTTATATGTTTTTATAATATAATAAGTTGGTGTCTTGATTGTGGCAAAATTTTTGCAAAGACCCAGACTTTGGATCGATTTCCACCATACTTGGCTTTTAGCATCCTTAGGTACTCCTGAAGAGTACTGTTTTTATATTATAGACCACCTGAAATCAAACCTATAGTATTCATTTGGTAATAATTCATAGACCTTTTCATGTAAGGAAGTTTGTCATAAATGGCTGCATGATATTACTTCTTTGTAAAATCTTTTAGGGTATAGCGAGCAGATATTTTGGTTCACGATTAAATTTAGGTGCAGTTATTCAACTTTTTATGTCCAAAAATTTCGTAAGGGAGCAATTATAGTCGCGGTTGTCATAGTATGTCATTGTACGTACTCAAATCGTGTCCTTGGCTCATAGTACTGTGTAGGACTATTTTATCTGTATTTCAACTTATTTACAGAATATCACATATAACATTGACGCACAATTGGGTATACATAAATGAGTCATATGGTCAACTATGTTAACTCTTCAGAAAAACAGTTTGTTTCTCAGATATTTATCCACTGTAGATACATACTTGTATATAGAATCGTATATAGCATATTTACAAAATCTATTTACAAGAATATTTGATCATTCCAAACCTTAATTAACACTATTAAGATTTATACAATTGAGACATAACTTGTGGTATGCAACTTAAACATATTACAAGTCATAGTTTTCAAAAGCGATGATCAAGCATGGGCAATAAATTCGTATTGCTAACTTTCATGATTAATGTACATACTTTTACTACAAATGATTACTTCTAACATCGAATGCAGTTCTACCAAGTAAAATCATTAGACGAAATTTCTCCTAAAATGTAATCTAAATCAGGAATTTAAAACACTGACTTAAGGGAAAGCATTCTCAAATCGGATTTTTTTTATAAACATTTACATAAACATATGCGAACATTTAATAAAATTTACATATTTTACATGGAGTACATTTTTCTTAATTTAACATTTAAACATTTTGAGCAAAATAAAAAGGTGTACAACTTGTGTACATATGTATAAATTTTCTGCAATTGATCGCAAAATGCTCATCATAACAATCATAACAAATTATTAGGATAGCAAGAAACGATTGTTTGTTCATCCAGATTTGTTTATTTGTTTCTGTCACAGACTTTCATAATAGTTTTAAAACTTTATTGTATAAATAATATACCGGTAGTATTTCATCAGTCAATATGTTAAATATTGTTCTTGTGTGCACATTTTATTGGCCAATGGTTTTGAGACTGCACTGATACTTTTCTTTTGATCAGTCTTTGTTTTGTTGTATTTATGCTCGAATTCCGTCAATGTATTTACGCTCAATTTTTCAATCAATTTCTTTCATGGCTGCCTTTATCCTAACAATTAGATATGTCGGTGTCATGTTGCATTTATGCTCACATTCAGTCTGTGTTTTATAAGGCTGAATTCATAGGCTGAATTCATGCTCACTGTATGTGTGTTTTAGGGCTGAATTTATGCTCACAATCAGTCTGTGTCTTATAAGGCTGCATTCAAGCTCACAATCAGTCTTTGTCTTATAAGGCTGAATTCATGCTTTAGGGCTGAATTCATGCTCACTGTCTGTGTCTTTAGGGCTGAATTCATGCTCACAGTCAGTCTGTGTCTTATAAGGCTGAATTCATGCTCACTGTTTGTGTCTAATTAGGCTGAATTCATGCTCACAATCAGTCTTTGTCTTATAAGGCTGAATTCATGCTTTAGGGCTGAATTCATGCTCACTGTCTGTGTCTGTAGGGCTGAATTCATGCTTACAATCAGTCTGTGTCTTATAAGATTGCATTCATGCTCACAATCAATCTGTGTCTAATAAGGCTGCAGTCATGCTCACAGTCTGTAAATGTTTTATAATGCTGCATTTATGCTCATAAACTGTATGTCTTATAAGGCTGCATTCATGCTTATAGTTTGTCTGTATCTTATCAGGCACCATTCATGCTCACAATCGGTCTGTGCCTTATAAGGCTGCATGCATTCATGCTCACAATCTGTCTATGTCTTATGAGGCTTAATTCATGCTTATAGTTTGCCTGTAGCTTATAAGGCACCATTCATGCTCACAATCGGTCTGTGTCTTATAAGGCTGCATTCATGCTCACAATATGTCTTTACCTTATAAAGCTGAATTCATGCTCACAGTTTGTCTTATAAGGCTGCATTCATGCTCACAATTTGTCTTACAAGACTGTATTCATGCTCACAATCTGTCTTATAAGGCTGCATTCATGCTCACAATCTGTCTAACAAGGCTGCATTCATGCTCACAATATGTCTAACAAGACTGCATTCATGCTCACAATCTGTCTTATAAGGCTGCATTCATGCTCACAATCTGTCTTATAAGGCTGTATTTATGCTCACAATCTGTCTTACAAGACTGCATTCATGCTCACAATCTGTCTTACAAGGCTGCATTCATGCTCATGAACTGTCTTATAAGGCTGCAATCATGCTCACAATCTGTCTTACAAGGCTGCATTCATGCTCACAATCTGTCTTACAAGACTGCATTCATGCTCACAATCTGTCTTATAAGGCTGCAATCATGTTCACAATCTGTCTTACAAGACTGCATTCATGCTCACAATCTGTCTTACAAGGCTGCATGATCTGTCTTATAAGGCTGAATTCATGCTCATGATTTGTCTAATAAGGCTGAATTCATGCTCACAATCTGTCTTACAAGGCTGCATTCATGCTCATGATCTGTCTTATAAGGCTGAATTCATGCTCACAATCTGTCTTATAAGGCTGCATTCATGCTCAGGGTCTGTCTTATAAGGCTGAATTCATGCTCCCAATCTGTCTTATAAGGCTGCATTCATGCTCTCAGTCTGTGTCTTTTAAGGATTCAGTTATGTTCACAATCTGTCAATGTCTTAAATGTCTTCAAATAAAAAACACTTAAAGTTATTCATGATATAAAATAATTTCTAACAATAACATACTAATGTGCCACAGCTTTTATTTCATACCAATTACAGTCTACAATAAGAAATCATGCTTGTTTTTTAGCACGAGATTCTAATACAATTGTATTATCTAACACATAAAACATTTCTTGTATCAAATCTGCAATCATAAACTTGCATGCAATCGTTGCTATATCACAGATAAAAACAGATTGACAGAGTTCCAATATAGCTTACAACATCAACAAAAATGTAATTGCATAACACTTGCAACATAAACAAAAAAATAAAAATTCAATCACAAGTACACAGTATGGTTTGATCACTATTATACAACAAATTGCAATGTTCCTGAGCTACTATGTTGGCTTTTCTACAATCGTTTATCTGTTAAATTCATATCATAAATTTACTAGGTTTTAAAAACAGTTAAGCTGTATCTACTATAAAATCAGTTCTAGTAAACAAGCACTAAAATTTTCAAAATATGCTTAACTCTTTTTTATACATGTTTACACATTCATATATTACATATTAATTCTACTTTTTCAAAGCATTCATGCTATAGGCTGGATGGTATGACATTGGCTTTAATTATAAGAGTATCATTTTTTATGTACGTAGATCCATCGATTACACTTAGTGGTAAAAACTCCATGTACCCGAAGCCTTTATGATTTCTAGTACTAACTGGACGCTGAAATGCTGCCAAGTTCGGTTTAGACATTAGTGTTTCAGAGATATGATTGCGCATTTCGCACATGGGATTTTGATCAATTATTGTAAGAACTATCCTTCCACTAAATGGCCATTCCAGTAAATCGTCATACTCCCCCTGCATAAAATGAATAAATAAAGAGAGGTGTGTACCTTTTGCACTGTCTACTCCATTTGGATTAACTCTAATACAAAGTTTATAACCATAATAACTTGAATAAAATGAAGCACTATGTATTGCAGTAATTTCACCTCTTTCTGCCTCACGTCTTAATTTCAAGAAATTTTTTATTTTCCAAACATAAACTCCATTCCCACAGCGACCCTCCATTTCATTTACAGTACTTTCTAAATACTTCACTTTCCCTTTCAGTTCTCGGATAACTTTTTCATGATAATCTTTCTGATGCGATAAATCCAATAATTGCTGATCATGTCGGGCTAAACTTTCATCCTGTATGTCATTTTGACATTTCATCGTAAAAAGCTGATTCTCATTTACGGACATCTGAGGGATTTCTTTATTGTCCTGTCTATTTGATGGCTCTGAAGTGTAACTAAACATCTGATACTGTGTCTGGTTAGTGTTATTTCTCTCACTGTCATTTTGTTCCTCATCCGTGTTTTGTCCACTCGCCTGCGCCTGACTGATAGGTACGCCAAGATTTTGTGCAGTTGCTATGGACACACTTCCTGGACTAGCGTACAATACATTCATACTGCCTGCTTGTACATTCTCGACATTACTTCCTGATGTAGGTAAACTCTGACAAATATTTGCATCGCTTACATTAACATTATTTAAATCAGAAGGTGTCAGCTGAAGTTGTTGAAGAAGATGTTGCAATAAATTCATACTGTCTTTAGGATTTACGAAATATGACGGATAACTTGACGCGCCCGAATTGCATGCCCCTTCCGTTCCATTGTAACCAAGTGAAGAGGGTTTCTGCATTGACTGGAGGTTCTGAGGGTTGATACGTAGCACGGTGAAGAGTCGGATGATGCTAAGATTAATCAGTGACATGTGATATATAAGGGTGGATTTCTCGTGATCCTCTAGAGTCTGTCTCTCACCCTGTAACATAGGAAACATACAACATTAAAACTAAAACCAATTAGTAAGCACATTTAAGATTCAAATGTGTAATACTAGTATACCATAATCAATTTTAAAGCAATTAAGAAATTCAACCTTTACTACAACAATCAATTTCCGAAGCATTCAAAACTCTAATCTGTTATTAAATCAGTTTTCCTACCTTATAAAATGTATGCATGTATACATTGATTTTTTTTTTCTGTGACACAAAACTTTCAGCCATTAATACTATAACTATTTATTTTTTTTGCAACACAAACTGTTTGACTTCCACAAAAGATATAATCACAAAATAATAAATTTCAAGCATCTTACTATTTCAATTAAGAGGATTCTGTTCCTAAAATTGAAAAACCTTTGGTCTGCACTCAGGGATGTTTTATTTGTGTTTGTTTTGTTTTAAAGTTGAAAGCATGGAACAAGCAATGGTTTCTTAATACAGATAATGAAAGTGGGGTTACCGATATAGACATATACTGTAAGAACAGCACAATTGCGGGCTACAGTTTTAAATATGTCCTTGTGCTACTGCAGATGTTAATGCAAGATAAAAGATGCACTTATTCATTTACCCATCATTTAGAACCTAGCTTACTGGTGACAGCAGATTCTACCAATGTGATCAGCACAGACCAAGATCAGCCGGCATATTTGAGCTGTCTGATCAAAGTCTGCACTGTTTCCTATTAAGTCTAAACTTATTTTGAAATTTCCTTTTAAAGTAGCATAATGAATGGATTTGTCTAGAATTAAAGACCGACAAGTCCATTTAAAATATTTAGTATTGTAACGATTGGTTTAAACATATTTAGTTTAGCTTGAAAAATGCGAAACAAGTTCTTGCAACTTATATTAATCACTTTTGAGTCCGCTTCCTGGAACCAA